GTTTCCGTGTGACATTCACACTGACTTCACGACAATGGCAGCCCTGCTGATCCACGACTCACGCACACGTTTCTACATACACCGCGCCGCCACTAGCGTCCAACTGACCCACGCCCCGCGTTAGCGCTACCGCTCCGTCCGGCAGCGGGGTCAGCCAGAGGTCACGCCCGCGAGCGAAGTGGCCGACCAGGCCCCGTCCCATCAATTAGAGCTAGCACTTGGCGGCCGCGCGGAGTCGGCCCCGGTGTGTTCAAGGGTCGTAGGGTGCGCCCCGAGGGCACACGCGACGGCGAATGGCCGCCGAGGTCAGAGGAGCACGACGGGCGGCTACCGCTGGCCGGCCCGGGCCAACTGTCAATCCCCAGCTGGATAATGTGCCCGGTGCAGACACCCCAGTCACGGATGTGTGCAGAGATCTACGACCGGATATCGCCGCGGCGGACTGCACAGCTGGGCGCACGGTCATCGACCCGACGCCCCAGTGTTTTGTGTACGCCGCTCGGGTCACGTGCATGGCAGTTTGCTAAATCGACCATCCTTGCACCGCCCAGATGAGGCCGACCGTGTCCGATATTTAGCACTTTTGTCGGAGCTTGTTTGAAGCTGCACGCCACATCTGCACGGCGCCTGCCGACGGCTGAGACGTGGCGCCACTTAGCTCACCGCTGAGCGGTCTTATCTCCCGCTGACGCATGCGTGGCATTCCGCCGGGCGGCTCATCCTTGGAAGTGACGCGCGGCTGGTGAGCACTGCGGCACAGGGCCGGCACCGGGAGCGAACCTGGCCGACGCTGCGGACCGCCTCGGCGGTAAGCTCTGAGGGCTCGCCAGCATATCCGGCACCAACACAAGGCGGTACCCGGGACTGGCAGTCGTGCGAAGAGGACAATCCCACGCCTGCATGCCCCTCGAGTGGTGTCGACGGACCGAACGCTCGCTGGCTCCTCTGCACGGCCGGAGGAACGGCCTTTCCCTGCACGGCCGCGCCACGTCCATGCTTCATGCCGGGAACAGGTGTTGCGGGCATCGCAGGCGCCTCGGACGGCGCGCAATCAGCATGCATCACGCTCCCCTCCCCCGCGCTCTGCCGCGCCCCCGTCCACCCCTCACCGTAACGAGATCCCATCCGACGACGGCGCGAGCCTCGGGCGGGCGGCGGCGCGGAATGCGACCTGCAGTGGCCACTGCCGTGACCCCGGCTTCCTGTGCGCTCGCTCTGCCCGCTCCCAGCCTCTGTCGCCGCGGGCAGCCGACCGGGCCGCCGGTCGGCATCTCGACTCGGCTCATTACATCAGGCCGGGTCGGCGCCGGCTCGCCACACTCCGTGTCCGGCGGCTTAATCGCGCCTCCACCCGACCGCGGCAGCGCTTCAGAAGGCCACCGGCGGAGGCGGAGGCGGAGACGTCGGCGGCCCCGGCGCCGGCGGCGGGGAGGACGGCACCGATGTCTGTCGCGGCTCGGTCCCGGCGTGGGACGGCGCGCGCTCGGGAGCCCCTCCTCAATCGCTCAGGATTGGCCAACGTGCGGGGGCTGCCGCCTGGTGGCGCTGTGGCTTATGGGGACCACTGCAGCCAGCAGCGAGTCGCCAGGCGGTTATCTAGCCGCCTACCAAAACAACGCGGGCAGCCCACGCTCTCATTATGCAGGGCACTAACTTTTGACCTGGACGAGGAGCAGTGCACTTCTGCGGATGGCATGGATAGATACAGTTACTTGTTACTCCGCATGGTAGTTCACGTGCCGAAAAACTAGTGGTGAAGTGATGCATGTTCCCATCACCCCTCTTCACCTCTCAGTGTAATGACGTCCGCAGTTCTGTTAG